AAGGAATTTCAAAAATTGCATGGATGTCGACGATTCAGAATGGGACTGTGCACGTCACTGCATTTTTGTTTTCAAAGAATTGCACCTTGCTCATCCTAGGCAACTCGAAGTCGCTGTCTCCGTAATTTTGTCGCGTCACTCCCTCTATCCTTATAGAGGTCATTTTGAATAGCATAAGGACCATCTATAATCACCATCGAAGCAGTGACGGTTCGGTCCTCACTGTTCGGGAACCTCTGAAGACTCCCCGAGTGTTATTTACTTGTTTTTAGCTACAATCGCCGCAATGCTTTTCCAGATAAATGGCCAAGGATAAATCGTTTGGCGTTGATCAATCCCCGGTTTGGATGGCAATGATTCTACATCCATTCAGCCTCGTAATGGAATTTGAGCGCATTCGGCCTATACTCGATGCTTGGCTGGGCGCCGATGTATCAAGTCCGCGCTACAGACATGTCGTATCGGTTTACCGACTCCGAGGAAGGCTAGGTTGCCCCTGACGACATAGGATTTAATCCCCTGGCCGCGCGCATGGTATGTTGGCCACATGCCACTGAAACCACATCCGTCACATGGTTTTTCTGGTGAAATTGACACCGTGGTTTTTGTAGTGGAATTGAGCTGTAAAGTTGTTAAGCCAGTCTGCTTATGCAAAAGGAACCAAAATGTGTAGTGTGAGAATTGAGATGTTTATCACCGTTTTGAACACCTTGATTGACTTGCACCCCCTTCCCCTCCACCTTCCCTACAGGTACACTTGGTTTATCAAGAAGTAGATTATGTTAAAACGTTAAGCTCCCTAAATTCCTTGCATGATTCCATCTGAAATCCCCGCTGTACTGTCAGTACGAGATTGTCAGCGCTCTGATCACGCTTTTTGCGCGTCCACTTGCATTTGCTGACCTTTTAAACTACGGTATAACTAAAGGTACTTTCATTGTCTGTTACGAGCGGGGTGTATCCCAAATGGCGCGGTCACATTGCCATTGGGGCGCATGGGCTGTAGTTGCCACCTAGGCGCCGCCCATATCTCGGCCAAATAACTCGTCCGGATCACCGAACGAATAGATTATCGTGGTTGATCGGTCTGCAATAGAGCGCGCCAGAGTAGACTGGATTGCAGAGCCTCCCAAGCTCACCATTCTTGACTCTTCTTCCGGATTCATTCTTGCGCTGAATTCGCACTGCACACTTCAACTATTAGAATGACTGTAGAGTTACTTCGAAGTGATTGTATCACGATCATTTTGGAACTGTGATACATTGCACTTTCCAGCAACTTACAGTGGATGACAATAATTCCGATACGAGGTAGGTAACTATTGTTCAGTTTTTTTTTGTTCAGAAAACAGTTTCATTGTGGGTTGGTATCCAAGTTTCATGTATCCAAGTTTCGTTGTGACTTCACCAGCAGTGGTTTTTTGGATTTGCTTCTCCCGAAAGCTGTGAGATAAGTATTGAGACTCCTTGATTTTCTGCTAATTGATGAATGCGTGAGAATCAATCACCGTGCATGAATATGATTTATTTAAGCAGTTTTGCTGGTTTATTTCTTATAGCTTTCTAAGATAAGGATGCCGTTATAGATTTTGTCTAACTATGCGTGAAAGAAAGGGAAAATTATGTCGACGTGCTATTCTGACCACACAGAAATTTTGCAGGGTGAGGAGCTCTGGGATGTTAAAATGGAAGAGAAATGACCCACGCACCTTGAGGGTTTCCCCTTGCACTGTACGCAGTACAAAAACCGCACCACATGCCCCTGTTGGAAAAGACCCAAAGCGTTCGAGACAACAGCAGCTCGTTTTTTTCTAATCTGATTGGACTCTCCTAACCGAGTTATTCGTCTTCTGTCACTTGAATGTGTTATCTTTGATGTTCTCTCATCAATCAAATCCCATACCACTGAGCGATCCCCTTGTTGGGGTAATGAGATCCCTGTTTTCTACACTTGTGATTCAGTTCTACTTTGCCAAAAGCATATCTCATCCCAATCTCTGTGTCCTTGCGAGTCCCTTAGGCATATCATGTGCAACATTGCACGTTTTATTGTCTCCTCTAGTAATAATTACTGATGAGTGTCATTCTCAAAAGGTGAGGCAGGACATAGAAATTCACCAAAGAACTCAAAGAGGGGTGAATTCGAGAATATTACACCGAACAAGTTAGTGAAGTGGGATCGCAGGTGATGGCAAAATAACAAAAAGGGATGAGAAATAATAAAACTGCAGCTGAAGACTCCAAGTGAGCTGATCAACCGTAGTACTGTTTAGGTTTAGATGGTTCGTACACAAAAAGGCCATTGTGAATAGGTTTCAAGAATGGTTCCTAAAAAAAGCGCCTGTTTAGTCTTAGTCAAAAGCAATAGACTTTCCAATACTGTTCCCTGAACAGAAAAAGAGACTTAACAATACTTACCACGTATAGTAATTGTTGTCATCCACTGTAAGTTGCTGGAAAGTGCAATGTATCACAGTTCCAAAATGATCGTGATACAATCACTTCGAAGTAACTCTACAGTCATTCTAATAGTTGAAGTGTGCAGTGCGAACTCAGCGCAAGAATGAAGCCGGAAGATGAGTCGAAGAATGGTGAACTTGGGAGGCTCTGCAGTCCAGTCTACTCTGGCGCGCTCTATTGCAGACCGATCAACCACGATAATCTATTCGTTCGGTGATCCGGACGAGTTATTTGGCTGAGATATGGGCGGCGCCTGGGTGGCAACTACAGCCCATGCGCCCCAATGGCAATGTGACCGCGCCATATGACCGCCTCCCATTGGCTGTAGATTGCTGTTCCAGTTTGCTTTTCTTACATCTTGTTAATAATTGAGAGTCGTGCATTTGTGTAACATTTGCAAATCGTCAATGTACTGTGGTAAGTCTGTTGACACATTTCCTTCTACACTTCCTGCTAAAATTGTGTGTGTTTTTCTCATTGAAAATGCGCGTAACAGCTTCTTCGGCTGTTTCGACAGCCAACTTTCTTGCTCTTTCCCGTGGATTATTATTTCCTTTCTGTCTAGTGTTCTAGAAATTGTGTTGCGGAACGGCAAACTTATCGTTAGTCAATGTCAACATTATTCAGTCTTTAAGTCCCTTACCACCAACAGTTTTTTGTGCAATCCTTCAGCTCCAACCTTCCCACAATTCAATTCCAAAAGTGTTTACAATAACTTCATTTACGACCATACCATCCTTGGATCCTTATCGTGTATTTGTTGCTAAGTGGATTGGGGGCAGGGTCACCCTTACGTTGTTACGAGTAACAACAGGGGGTCGTACTCAGTTGAGCTTGGAGGGGGGGGGTCGTACTCTCTCGGTGGCCGGCAGTGATATTCTTGGTAATATCGGATATTAGCTAGCAGGTTACGTTTTTGTAAGATGACTGATACTGGAGCATCTATAAACCACGCTTCCCTCTAAATGAGCTTTCAAATGAATCAGCGAATTAGAAGGGCGCCCGAGGCGTGGCGCGCACCAAGGCAAGGGATGTAGTGCAAGCGCATGCTCGAAGCTTTCTAGCACATCCTAAGTTAAACATGACATTGGTCTTCCAAGAAGTTACGGGCAGTGAAACCTAAGAAAACCCGCGTTTTCGGGAAAATGGCTTGAAGAATACCCCTCTCAAAAAAAGTAACAACGGGACTAATTTTTGAACTGCTGACTTTTCAGGAACGTTTTGGTGCTCGTAAGAAAGCTTGAATCCTGTAGTTTGTCATACCGTGTTCAGCTTCCCAAATGAGTGACTTTGAAGGAAAAAAGATCGCGGTTCCAGAAAAATGTGTAACGCAAACCCCCCCCAAAAAAGTAACAGCGGGACTAATTTTTGAACTGCTGATCTTTCAAGAATGCTTGGGTGCTCGTTAGAAAGCTTGAATCCTGTAGTTCATTATACCATGTTCAGTTTCTCAATGAAAATGCTTGGAAGGTGAAGTTATGATCATTTGAAGGTCAAAAGTCGCGTTTGCACAGAAAAAAGTAACAACGTACTAAATTTTTATTGAAATTAACTTTTGAAGAATTTTTAACCCATGGTTTGGAGAGAGAAATAATTTGAATTTTCCAAATCAAATCACTTCGGTGCAGAAGCTCGAATATGAAGAAGTAGCCGTTTTTTTTTTTTTTTTTTTTTTTTTTTTTTTTTTTTTTTTTTTTTTTTTTTTTTTTTTTTTTTTTTTTTTTTTTTTTTTGGAAAGAGGGGTGTAAAAATTGTGTTGCAATTGAAGAACGTGAAGGATTTCAGTATTTCAATTGGAGCGATAATTTTTTCTGACTTCTCATAAGTTTTTATCAGGTAATATTGTCAATATTCCGGTCACTGGTTCAGCTTATTTCATCTCCTAGTTTGGTAACCCTTTGGAGTACACGGATATCTTTGAATGCATCTCATTTTTTCGTGTTTGGAAGCAGCGATGAATATCTGTCGTGGATTTTGCTAAAGTTTCATCTTTGATGACTTACGTAGAAATAAATATTGATGGTAAACACTGTCTCTACACAAGTGTCACATACAAGGGGGGTCGTATCAAATCACCCATGAAGGGGGGGGTCGTAAAAAATTTCCAAAGAGTAACAACGATAGGGTTGACCCTGGTTGGGGGGACCACAAGACAAAAACCAGTCTGCTCGCGCTGCAGGTTTTCAGAATCCTGAGCTAGTAGGAGTGGTAGCCATCTAGGGGGGGGTGAGGGCAGTCACTTGACATGCGTGAAAAGCGGGAATGTTCGAGTTTACACTATCTCACTCGAGAGAGCGCCAGGTGAGCAGAGCGCCGCGCCGCTGCGTGGTCCCCCCCCCCAACCCACTTAGCACCTATTTGTTATAATGAAGCTTCGTCTTCCTATAGCATGAGCTCATGACGGTGGCAGAATCGCTCACCTCATTTGTCCTTTCTTGTTCTTCTTTGGCCATTCGTCAAATCGAGCGAGCTTCGATCGCATGCGTTTTGTGTATCCTTCTTCTATTTCTTGTGTACTTCAATAATCATAGGTATTCAACATGGCGGAATATGACTTGACGAAACGTATGGCTCCCTTTTTTGATCTTCACTTGATCATCCCTTTATTGGAGTTCATCGAACCTCGTAAGGTAAAGTGATGGTTTTTAATCATTTCTCTTTGGCTGACCAGCAAATGCGTTTCTGCTTCAGATATACGATGACGCATCTCTGGTTGAAATGCATCGACACGTTCTTATGAAGACGAATATGATTGATAGTTTAACAGAGACTTATCAAGGACAGCCAACTCCAAAAGAACTTGAGACTAAAAGGGCTGAAGTGCTCAAAGAGAGGGACATTTTGAAGGCAAAGGTATCGTCTACATGTAATCACTTTTGAAAATCTGTTGCCATATTAAATGGCAATACAGATTCACTTGCCAATCTGCATTGACCTTTTCCAGGTCGATCCCGTCATTGAAATTCTTGAACTGGACGATGTGAAGGAATTAATGGAGAGTACCAGAGATCGAGACGGGAATAACAAAATACTTGATTTTCTTCAACAAAATCACAACGTGAGCGTTGATTCATTTTAAGCACGATTGTAGTCTCTCACTACATGTTTCTTTTTCAGTTCCAACTTGACATGATCGATGCTCTCTTCAAGTACGCCAAATTCATGTACGAGTGTGGAAACTACACAGCCGCATCGGTTCGTTTATCTGTTAATATCTTCCCTATTAAAACTTCTTACTGGGCCATTGGATTAATCAACCACGAATCCGCTTACTGATTGTTTGTATCGAATAACGTTTTCTAGAAACTTCTAATGACACTTGATGTATTGTAAAATCGTTAGCGAAGTTAGCTGCTTAAAAGTATCCGGAAAGTGAAGAAGTTGTAGTTGTACGTAGGTTGTAAGAGTCTAACATGACCGTTATTTCATTAAAAGCATGTGCTGCACTTGTTATCTGTTCTTTGATTTTTCAAAGAATACAAATTTTTGTTTTAATTCCTTTTTTTTCCAAAATTTAAGAATTCAGTTTTTTATGCGCAAGCATTTTACTTAAGTTGTCCTATCATCTTTGATTGCATAGTATGTAATGCATCTCATCTTGAAAATTAGCCTTAACCAATTCCTAATTTGCAGGTTTGCCTTTACTACTACCGTAATCTGGTTCCCCAAGCCGATCCAAATTATCTCAATGCACTATATGGAAAGCTGGCCAGCGAAATTCTGCTCCAGGTGCGTCAACTCTTCCGCCGTTGTAACTGCTCTGAGACATTGATTTGGATGCTGCTTATGTTGTATTTGTGACATGTCAAAGTGGAACACTCATTTCAGGAATGGGATCATGCGCGAGATGACTTGGTCAAGCTTCGTGCTTACATAGACTCCAACCCATTCGACACTGAGTGGGAATTGATCCACCAAAGAGCATGGCTTATGCACTGGGCACTTTTTGTCTACTTCAATTATCCAAAAGGACGCGATGACATCATTGAAATGTTCCTCAATCAGCAAACTTACCTCAATACTATACCAGGTATCAGTTTCTTCCCCTATGTTGTCAGTGCCTTCAAGGTCCATGTCGTTACAGGTGATGTGCCCGCATCTTCTTCGCTACTTGGCTGTGGCCGTTGTTACGAGCAAGAATAAGCAGAAGAATAGCTTGAAGGACCTTATTAAAGTCATTGATATCGTGAGTGCAGGAGTTTTCTGGATTTTTGCTCCCAAATTGCGGTTTGATGAACAGTTTTTTTTTACGAAACAGCTGATTTGTTGTTCAGGAACGCCACAACTACCAAGATCCTGTAACAGATTTCCTCACCTGTCTTTATATAAAATACGATTTTGATGAAGCTCAAGAAAAGCTGCGACAGTGCGAAGAGGTAATCTTCACTTGTAAAGATTGGTGACATTCCGTGGTGTTTCTATATCGCAATTTAGGTGTTGTCAAACGACTTCTTCCTCACTGCGTGCTTGTCAGATTTCCGTGAATCAGCTCGACTGCTCATTTTTGAGATGTTCTGTCGCATTCATCAATGTATTAGTATTGAAATGCTTGCTAGGAGGCTCAATATGTCACAGGTAAGATTCTACTTTACTATACTATTGTCTTTTGGAATTCACCTTTACTTTACGTTCTTCTAGAAGCGAGCAAGACTTTTCTTGAACTTTGCCCTAAGCGCTAATTTGACTCGAAAAGCCAATATAATGTCCGGTTTGACCAAGCAACGGTGCCGGCCAAAGTGCCAAAATCCAGCTTGGCTCATCAAAGTCACTGCACCTTTATGCTTACACTTAGAGATGGCTTGATTCAGGCAGCATATCACATTAGTTTTGAAGTGAATGCTGAATGAAAAATTAATCACTGGGATATCATCACAGGGGCCGGCGGCTGTGTCGCGAGGGTTAGATGCTTTTGCACTAAATTGATGTGGTACTTGTTTTGTGCGAATTGGACTGTTCCCGGGACTAATCAGCAACATCTTCACTCAGACAAAATTCTAGAGAATTACGGACCATTTTCTGAAGAGTGTACAGGATAAGTAGTGCTATTGTTGATGCTTCAGAATAATAGATCCCTTTATTTGCAGGTGGAAGCAGAAAGGTGGATTGTGGACCTCATCCGAAATTACCGAATTGAGGGAGCTAAAATTGACAGCAAACTTGGTCAAGTTGTAATGGGAGTGAAAGCTGTCAGTATTCATGAGCAGGTGTGCTATATGTTCTAAGTCAGTTTTGATTTGAACCTTGTGGTTTTCTACTTTTTTGTTCATTAAGGTGATGGAAAATACCAAACGACTGACTTTACGAGCACAACAGATCGCTTTACAACTGGAGAAAGCTCGAACTGAACGAAAGACCACCGTGTAGTTTTTTTTCTTTAGAATCGCTCTAAAGTATTGTTGGGTTTCTTTGTTATATTGTGTCGCTTTGGTTGCAACCAAGAAATTTTCTGTCTTAGACTATTCTTCAAACTAACTCGGTTTTTGTGACATGGTTACAAGCTGACAACGTTTTACGTAGGTGAATGAACTGACCAGCGTGTCAGTTTTAACGAGATCACGTTCAGAGAGGATCAGTTTTCACTATACCTCTGTTCTACGGTTCTGATGCTTCGCCATATGGACCTGATTAGGAGTTTTCCATTACAGATGTTTATTGTTATCTGATAAAAAGTCCGTATTGTTTTTCTGTTGATATTTAACGCTGGCTCGCATCAGCTGCGTCGCATACTCGTAGTTCCGATCACAAAATCGTGCAGTGTCTGCACATTTGTTGTCCCATTAGCAGATCTGTGTGTCCATTAGAAATGGGCATCGCAATTGATGTGCTCGTGTATTCGTATGCCTGTTCAGCATTAGACATTGCTGATGGATTAAGTCAATAATAATGAGCAGAGCAGCAGCGTTATCATTACATGACGTTTTCTTAGGTAGCTTTATGCAATCAAATTTTCTGAATCCGTGGAATTATGTTCCTTTTCTCGAAGAGATGAAACAAGCATACGCTCGGAAAAATGGCTCAATTCAAGACAAGGTATGCGTTTCGGAAAATCAAGCAAATATTGCTGGTCGCGGTGGAGAATTCTTGTTTTTGATGTTCTTTTCAGGTATCAGAGCTGCCGGCTCAGTCCCTTTTGGAGTTCATGATAGGGGAGGGCCCATGTAGGCACTTGCGAGGCTCCAATCTTATCAAGGAAATCTATCATCATGTACAAAGAATAAAGGACAAAAATGCGCAGTTGGATGCGAAGTACGTTCTCGTATTCATCTTTGCCGTTTGTGAGTTCAATGTAGCTGATAAATTACATTACTGAACATTTCTGCCTGCTTCCTAGCTTAGGTAAACAATGAACAGTGGGAGGAGTCTCCTAGTTATCCCTGTTAAGGGGACCCAAACCTTCATGATGAACGCTCCTAATTGTTGCGTTCGCTTTGTAATTTGCTACTTTGCACTCCGTTTATCCTTCAACAGTGTTCATGGGATATCTTCAACACATTCACGCCCGTATTGATGTTGGTTTATGCCACTCATGTGATCCCTACAGCATGGCGCGCGTGCATTCTCAGCGGTGCACGAATATGATCTTTTGGACACAGGAAGCTCTTGTATTTGAGGTTTTCGGGCTCACTGCTTCACACAGATGCACAGAGATCAGTCAGTAAATAAAAGTATCAGCAAAAGCGCATGTAAATCAGATGGAGAGACCTTCCCCTCTGTTGAGAAGTTCCTTTGATATTGAAGAAGGGTATTGGAGTAAGCTAAAATGTATGCCTAGCTGAAGTTCAATGGTGAGGACTTGAAGATGAGACTACTTCACTATGATTCATCATAGCTATTGAAGTGGGTTATCGTTTATGAAAATCGGATGTATCTGTTGACTTGAGAAGATGTCAAGCACCCACGACATTGACGTTTTTCGAGGTTAACAAAAATTGGTACTAAATGAAAAGGAAAAAGAGGCCTTGGATTCCCTATGTCGATCTGGGCTTAAGAAAATTCCATGCTTCCTGTTGTTGGTTGTTTTCGACTAATATCATTTCAGTATCATAGCGGATCGATGTTTCCCGAAGTTTACAGGTGCTGAGGAAATTGTGATAGAGTATGTTTCGATTCGTTCAATTTTCGTATAACTTCGTATAATGTATGCTATACGATTTAGCGAATATTGCTCTGAGACAGAACTGCCGCTTGTTCATCCTTTAGTGTTATGAGTTGGAGTGGCGAATGTACGTGGCTTCCCAAGAGCTTGGTTTCAACACAAAAGGTTTCTTCGCCTACTTATGCAAACAGCGTTCAGAAAAATGATCAGTCATAATTTGTGTTGTAGCCCTAAGTGATCTGTGAAAAGTAACTCTAATAATTCTTTTCCAGCGTATTCGTATTTTATCTGAATCAGAATTTATCGGAACCAGGTGCGTCTACAGTCGGCGGACTGGTACACGTCTCTTAGCAGGAAAAATGAAGTCTTGATCCTCAACGTTGATTGGAATATGTGTGCGGTGCGTTTTGTGAAGTTCACCTTTTTGGAAAGACCTTATTTGAAGGATAGTGACATATTTACTAGGCTGTTGATAATTTAGAAGATTTGATTTGAACTGCCATCTTCCTAAGATATGGGCTATTTGCAACAATGACAAGTATCTTGCCCAGGAGCTGTTCGATGCCATTTCTATCAACCTGACCTATTTCCTTTCATTATATGCCCTGCATTCTCTCAGGTACAGGTATTTTTTATTGTGCGTATATTCAGAATTTTTTCTTATCCCTAACTCAGGAGTCAGACGAAGATCGGTCTTCGCGATGATATCGCTAGCTTCTACTTTATCCCTACTTATAACGAGATAAAACGGCATATCGTAAGTACAATTCTGTGTGTTAGCTAGTTTCACGAATCTCCAGATATTTTGAATATTATTCATAGATTTCAGTTCTCAATTTAGCCTGCGAAAGCCGAAATCGGGAAAACGGGAAGCTTCAGTACCTGCTCTGGATACGATTCTGAAATGTCAGCTGATATTCCTAGGATCAAGGTGAAAGCAGCATAATGCAACGAGTAGATCCCATAGTTGGTTACTGAAACTCGTTCAAGAAAAGACGCTTATCTTATTTTTCTAGCGAGAAACTGACATCAAGCATCATCCTTCAACTTCTTCCATTTCTGCAGCTAAGAAAACTGTTTCCACTGACTCAAGGCTCTCGGGTACAGATGAGGCTCCGGTGAGTAAAACTAGCTTGTGTGACTTCAAATCTATGGTATCTAATGTATTCAATGAGGTTCACAGATTGTAAGCCACGGAATTTATGCTCCCATTGGTGTCACTTAATCAACATGCTTATTTGTGTCAGGTAGCATCAGTGTCACGCGGTCACAGTTTAATGAATGGCGGTGCATCAAGCAGCAGTAGAAGCGAGGACAAGATTTCGCCGTCTCCTAAGCGGATGAAAGTGGAAGCGGTTGCTGAAAACGGCCACGACTGGTCCAAAGTAAGATTTACCAACGTCTTCAATGTCTTTAGATCACAAAATGATCTGAAATGATAGAGTCGTGCATGCGCAACTTTTACAGTAGGTTACAACCAAATGATTTGTGTTACATGTGTCTTGGAGCATTTCAAAGATTGGGGAAGGTAAAGAGTTTCGTTAGTTGTGTCATTCCCATCTTC